ATTATTAACTAGTACAAAGATATTTAGTTTATTCTTTTTTATTAATATACAAAGCAATCTTCTTTCCCTTCTCTATCTTTTTTAATAAGGTGTAAATATATATCGGTTATCATTCTTTAAATTCTTATAAAAACATTTGGATCCGCCAAGTTTTTCATTGAATATTCTTTAGAATGATCGAGAAAGCACATTACTTAAATTTTTTACTTCTTTAGATTGGCATATCTAACTTATAGTCGTGTAAACGCTTTAATAAACACATTGTAAATATGTTTGTATAAGGTATATTTTGTTTACCTACATAAAGAAAATAAACCCTACAATGTTAGACTACAAAAAAAAAGAAAGATGTCAATAGCTGTCATCAATGTAAATCGTATAATTTCCAGGATCTGAATAATTTAAAATCTCATTTCTTGCTACTTAAGGTAAATTGATTAAAAACTGTCATGTGGCTAAATAAGAATGTTTATTTACTGGGTTAGGAATGTACAATTCGTTATAATTTCATAAACTTTTTACATTAGAAAAAAATTATTAATAAAAAAAAGTCTTTTTTTTAATAAAAATAGGAACAGGTGTTATTTCCTTTTTATTTCTTTTTGAAAAATTAACTTGGACCACTCTTAGTCGAATTACTAAATAGTTACATATAGTAAAGAATACCAAACAGTGAAATGAGACTTTCCAGACGTATTAACTATCTTGCTGACACCCACTCATTTGTTACGAAAGCGCTGTAACATTTATTATTAATGTTTAACTAAATAGTATAGAGTTAAATTCTAAAATTTCAAATTACATCTTCAGTGATTGTTCTCTTTTTGATTCTGTCTTTCAGGGGTCAGGGGAAGGTCGAATATCTTCTACTTTTCTTTTTTTTCCTTGTTGTCAGTGCCAAGAAGTAATGGGGTTTGATCATACTTGGACAAAATACCATTTATTTTTAAGCACTTTTCAAGTCTTTTGTGCCCAAGGGTTTAAAAGGACACTACGAACTGAGCATTTCTTCTAAAAAAATTATTCCCTCTTCCGTTTTTCCTTCTTTCCTAAATCCTTTTCGATTTTCCATTTCGATGATTAGATAACTAATAGTGAAAAAGAGAATAGGGTTAGCGGAGGCCAAAGAAATAGGCAGAAATGTGAACAGAATAGAATGAAGTAGTTATAAGAATGTGATATTTCAAAAGATCATTTGATATGCTTAAGTACTAAAATCGTTATATCAATTTATTATTTATAATTCTTATAATGAAATATTGCGAGTCGAAAACTGAGTAAATCAACATATACTTATTTATATACATATATACCGTAAAAAAGATCAATCGGTTCTCACCTTAAATACTCTTTCATATAAAGATAAGTACTACAAGCATATTGATATAATTAAAATGTCCCACAAATTCGCTTAAGTTCACTAATATAGAGGTACAAATATTTAAATGATGTTTAAATCAAAAAATCTCTTAAATCGATGTAGCATATTTTAATATGCAAATAGTAGTTTTTATTCTATTGACAGAACAATAATTATGTTACAAAAATTCTAAAAATTTTGAGGCTGAAATATTCATTCTTCTTCATTATTAAATAAATGAAAACCTTCTTCATGAGAGGAGTAAATAGAGAAACTAAGAATTTTCTCCATATTTCCTAATAAATTCTAGCGTCAGCAAGAAAGGAAAGTAGGCTGACAAATATTTCATTTAATTTATATAGCAATTATTAAAATTTGTAGCGGAAGATATAAATTAAACGCATCAGATTCGTGACCCATACGATACTTAATATCTTTCCTGTAGATGTCACCATTCTACGATATTTCTCCTTACTATTCTTTCCTCCTTGCCCGCCTTATTTTCTATACATTCGAACTGTATGACTTGCTAGGAGAAAAATTTCAATTTCCATAATAAGTAATTAGTATTTCATTATTTTGATTTTAATAATAGCAATAAAAAACATACATTACTAAAGATTTTTCTAAGAAATACATTAATTAAGCTTCATTAAAGAGATATTAGTTGAAAAGATAAATATTTCTATATACGCTCACCAACATATTTTAGAAATTTCATGTCATTTACATATAAAAATCTTCTCTATTGTATAAATATAAATTATGCGTACAACGGTAAACTAATAATAATTTCGTATGACTTGAATTTTTATTATTTATATTATTACATTTATTTATTTTTTCTAGACACTTATTTTTGTTTCTATATATTTATACGAAATCTATAGATTACTTATAATTTTGTTAGGTTTTTCTTTTAAAGTTATAGAATTTACTCTACAAAAGAAAAAGCCAAGATAGTAAATAACTAAAATCTCGGACTTATTTGTCCTAATGACCTCAGTCGTGATTCATTTCTCAACGGTGATTTGACAGAGGCTATTGCATAACTACTCTCTCCCATAAATTTTTCTAGTCTAAAGCTTTTCCAATATCTTTTTCCAAGAATACGCATACAAATGGCCAAAGCTACGGTCATATGTAATTCTAATTAAGAATAATTCTGAGAATAATTTTGTCCTCTTTAATTATGGCAGCAATGAAAATCTATATTTTTATTTACGAGTGTAATTCATATTCAAATGCCTTTTCATCTTGCTTAATAGTAAAAATAAAAAGATTTATTACTAGATTAACGCAAAGGGAGAGATTAATTAATTGCGCTGTAAAATTGAGTAAACAACTAAGAATATAGTCAATCCGTCTTTGACAAACATTCACTTTTTTAAGAAAAAGAAACAACGAAAAAGATCGGTTGCTAGAATAAATTAGTTTCGATTTTCATTAAGTATATATGGAATTACTGTTCTTTTGTGCCAATGATTATAGATTAAAACTTTATATATCACTTAAATAGTAAACAATGCCTTTTTTATTCGTCTTATCCTTTTCTATTTGAGAAAAAACTGTAACCATTTAGAAGAATACTCATAAATAGTCCGAATTTTCCAATATAGTTCATTTAGTGAGAGGAATGAGGACGGTATTTAATATTTTTAATTAATCCTTTACCTATATCTGACAATTTGTTTTTTACCGGTATTTAAAGATTATTTTTCCTATGATTTTAAAATTGTCCATAATCTTTTCTAAATAGTCTATTTTGAAATGAATTTTTAATTAATTGACATTGGGATTTTAGTTTGGCTTTGGAAAACGTGTATAGTTTTTTATATTAAGAATATTTTGTACTGGACATTAAAATTTCTTTTGATCAACAAACGAAACTACTTCAAAGTTATGTTTAAATTCATTCAAGATAAACTTAAATATTATATATAAATCAAGGGTTCTTGTAAACATATTTTTTTAACCATATGACATTTCTTCCTTCTCTCCTTTCTTGGCTTTGTAAAATTTCATTATATTCAAAAATTAAATGTTATAATTTTAATATTTTTCTACTAATTTTTAAATCATTCCTATTTTTTTTATCGTAACTTAGGCAATGTATTTAAAGTTTGGAGGGAAAGAAAACTGAGAGATCCTTAAGTGACACTATCGTCTTCGCTAAAATTTCATTAAGTCAAGTATCAGTAATGATTTCTGAAAGCAGCAGCTACCATCTAAACAAGCCCCTCTAAGTTACTCATTTATATGAGTTTAAATGGACGCGGTTATTGCATGCGGGGAATGGATCTCAACTTCCTACCTCAAACAACCGGAAAGATCGATAGACTTTATATATAGCTGGAATGAAAATTTGTCTATCTATCAGTCCATTCTCTATCCATTCACTGTGTTTTAAATAGTAATAGTTGTAGTTCTAGTAATATTAACGATATGGTTAACACTAGAATTATGTATTTATTGTGTATCTTTCTGCTTTACTTCCTAACCTTTTTCAATTTTTGTCATTGTTAGAAAAGGCATGGTATATTGATGCATTAACGTAATTGTTGTTAATTCGTAATGAAATACTGGTAATGCATATTCTTAATAATTTTTATCATAGAGCTTTAGCATATTCAGTAAATAATACAATGGTATGAAATGGACCTTATTATGAAAAAAGTAATAACAATTCTCAATAATTAATTTATCAAACACAAGCAAAAAAACGTAAATTATTATTATAGTTTGTTGCTAGCTTTTTATTGAAAGCTATATCAATCGAGCTAGTATTAATTATTTGTTCAGGTTTTGTAAAAATTGATGAATTATTGAGAAGAACTATTACATGCTATTCAGTTTTCTCTTTTTATCTTACTTTGATGATAAAAGCGATGAAATTTGTGAAATTTTTCATGCGTAAGAGAAAATGTATATCATATTGTATAAGAGAGTATATAATATGATCTATAAAATATATTCTATAGATATTTATATTGAGATCCTATGCTATATTTGTTTTTTCGTTTTTTGTTTAAAATTCAATCCAGAACTGAATATATGGCCTATAAAAAAAGTAGAAAAGAGAGAAAAGAGTTATAATTTATTCACTTGAAATTTAGAATCGAACTAAGAGTTAGCTAACAAGCTGAAAAAATAAGAGAAACAAAATGATAAAACTTGCTATATTTCTCTTTGTTGTGGAATTTCTTTTTGGAAAAATAGGTGAAGATTCAAAACTATTTTTTTCATTTGAAAGCCTTGATATTTTTAAAATGTAAAATAGATTCAGAACACTCGGGTTCAGTTGCATGTTATTATCCTACTTATAAGCACAAGTTCATGCTAGGGAGAATTAATTCAATCTTTTCGGAAGGCAAATGTGGATATTTTATTATAGCATTCGCTCTTAATTCAGAAAATAGCACTCTAATATCCGATGGATATACCGGTATTTTAATGAAAATTTCCCTCTGAAACTTGGCTAATATTTTTAATTTATTGCATTCTTTTTCCTTTTTCATTATGTTGTAGATGTTTATAGTGATATTATTAAATTAAGAGATAGCCTCGATTACAAGAGAAAAGTGAAAGTTTTGATAGCTATCGGCGGTGCTAGTTTAATCCAAAAAAACCTATTTACAGAGATGTTAAAAAGTGAACAACAAATTGAAAAATTTGCAAAAAGTTGCAAAGAATTTGTTGAGTAAGTGAAAAAATATAAATTAATTCTAATTTTATTTAATAAATGAAATTCATTTTATTAAAATTAATTTACTATTAAATTATTTTTTAACCTGTTTTAGTACTAATAATTTTGATGGAATTGACTTGGATTTTGAATGGCCGGGGAAAGATGAGAAGCATCAATTTACACTCCTAGTAAAGGTTAAAAATACAATTGAGCTATAGTTTTACTTTAATATATAAACTAATATATAATATAAATGTTAGACAGTAAGAAAATATATGAAGGAAAAGATATTAACGAATGCATTTGGTTTGTTTTTTTTTATTTATTAATTTTCTGTAATCAATAAATTGAAAATAAATTAGCTGTTGGAAATGCCGCGTTAGAGGGATACGATTTAAAAGAACTGGAAAAGTATAATATCCAATTATATATTTATATTTTTGTATTTACATCAAACCTATATATTTTCCCTCAGATATCTAGATAATTTTCACTTAATGACTTACGATCTAAAGGGGATTTGGAATAGACGACTAGGGTTTCATACGGATATTCGTCTTATTGTATTAATTTCTTCATTGTTCTTTCAATTCAATTTAGTTTCTGCCTACTTCTAGAAAGAAAAAGCAGAATACTTCTTGAGTAAAGGAATTCCGAGACACAAGATTTTTATAGGACTTTCAGAATACGGAAGAGCCTTTGGAACGTCTCTTCATAAATTTAAACCGAATGATTTTTGCGGAAAATGTTTAACAACTAAATGGTTTTATACTTTTGCGGAAGTTAGTTTTAAATTGGGATTTTCTTATTTAATAGATGAATAAGAAAATTCAATTATTTTCTCTTAGATTGATTTATTTATATCTAAATTAACAATGTAATTTTATTTAGATTTGCGAATTATTAACTAATGGATGGACATATAGCAATGACTCATTAGCTAAGTCGTCCTATGTTTATTCAATATCCGATAATATTTGGATAGGTTTCGATTCTATTGATGATATAAATGATAAAGTATGATTTTGATAAATTTGTTTATTGACTAGAAATTAATAGCATAATATTTTTTCATTTATAATAGATTGAATATATTAAATCGGAAAAATTTGGTGCTATGATTTGGGAAATTACTCAAGATGACTTTGAGAATAAATGCAACCGAGGCTTTATGCCGATACTAAATAGCGTGGCATCATTAATGGACACATCAGAAAAGTCGAATACAAGACTCCTGCCAATGAACGGAAGTTCTAATAATATTGCTGTCAACTTATATTTTCTCGGTACTTTACTACTTATTCTAGAATTAGAATTAAACTAATTTTAAATAACAAGTCTCTAGTAGATTATTTTGATTGATTATCAAATAAAATACTGGGAAGTATTCTTTAAAAAATGATAATTAATTACCATAATGTTTCCAAAATATAGGAAAGACTTAAAGATAATTAAAAATTCGTAGAAAAAAGAGGTACTGAGAATAGTTGGTAAACTAAATTAAAGAATTTTGTTAGGCACTAGATGTCTCTACAATATCTAAATAATGATTGAAGAATATGGAAATACAGTTTGCTATATTTTCTTGAAATATTTTATTTAAATTAAACTAAATTGCGCATTTAAAATGCAATTTTGAATGCAGGGTTCTATCTATAAAGTGTATACTAATTTCATATGACTGCAGCGAAGCTTATAATAACAGAAATGTTCATTGAATGATAGATTCAAAACAACTCATAAATAAACCGTACATAAGAAGAAGATGCAACTGATAAGCTGTCAATAATTGTACTTAGTATCATCCATGATAAAACAATGACGAAGTTTCTAGGCAGTCAAACAAAACGTAGTTTTTTAGTTTGGAAAACGCATTGTTATATAGCTACAAGAAACATTTGATAGACTGTAGTAAATAAACACCTAAAACAACCAATTATCGACGTCATATGCAGTCAAACTCAGTGAAATAGCGTAAAATAACGTGTCCATTATCGAGTACCTAAAGTGGAGCTGTCCAGCGCAACACTTGATAAAATATAGTGGTCAAACTAAATATTTGGCCAGTAATTGTATTATATATTCATACAAGATTGTAACATATATTATCTTCTATATTTTTTTAAAAAAGAAAGAGAAAAAGGTTTATTATTACAAGGAGTTTTCTTTTTATACTTAAGTAAATAGCTACAAAAACAGACAAAACCTGACAATTGGTAGCTTAATGCCTTTATTCCTTCTTTATATACTCTTTCTTAAGGAAAAACAAAGCTTTCAATAAACTTTACCTTTATAAAACAAGATATGCACAATTATTCCGTTAAGCTGCAACAAGAATTACATAGAAATCCCCTTACTTTTCTCTTCCCTTTTTCCATCATTCCCCATCTCCTTTGCCTTCACTCTCTATCTATCATATTCTCTTTTTATATTTTCTTTCTCTTTCCCTCCATCTTTTCTTGTTTTTCTTTTTTTCTCTTGTTCTTTTTCTTCTTTTCTTTCGACTCTCTTACGAACATAGTTTTCCCCTTTCTCTGACTTGTCAGTAATGGATGAACGAGTAAACTAGAATGATTTAACGAATGAAAAAAGTATTAATTGAAATTTGATATTAAGAAAGAAAACCTTTGAGTATATATTTGTTAATTAATCTTCCTTAATTCTAATCTTATGATAGTCTGTTCTATTATTGCACCTAACACTTTTGGTTTATTGACCTCCTTAATGTGAAATCTCTTCACCTTGAATTAATCTTTAAGAGTTGAAACGAAGTCTCTCCCTCTTATTTAAATAAAAATTCGCCTAAGCGTGTTTAATTAAGAAGACCTCATTAAAGCTGCATGTTAACAAACGTCTACAATAAGATTAGACAAAATATCATTCAAAGGCCACCTTTTAACACCTTTCTTTTTCTTTCATAATAGTGTTTTCTTTTTTTTTTACAAATAATTCATTCATTTTTCTTTTTATTTGTTGACTAGGCCTAAGATAACACATACCAATTCAGAAGGTGAAAAGCATTAGAGTAAGATATAAGAGATGTGCATCGAATACAGATAACTTTATTCATTTATATTTATAAGAAATTGAGATAAATTTTCACTTGGATGATATTTGTTATATAATTCCTAATACATTTTTTTACGTTTACTGTCTACAGGCTTGTTTCAATTACAAAAAAATGATGGAAATCTTTCCAACTAATTTTTCATCCGCTCGCACAAAAACTGCATCTGACAACAATAATTAAGCACATCCCGTAGGCATTTTGGTTCTTCTATCGGCAGTAACAACTGAAAGATTGGGACATTCTTAATTGAAATGTCACGAAAAAAACTACGCACCTCTACCCTACTGCCCCCTAGCGAATTTCGTTAGCCTCTTAATACCACACTTCGGACACACTTCACTCGGAACCTTCTCTACTGTACATACGTCAAATAAAGAATAATTTATACTGTAAGTTCCTAGAGGTTTTGTTATATCTTAAGCAGCTTTTTCTTCCTATTAGGTAGATAGGGGGTAATTAAACCTTATTAGTGTAAAAATATACCCTTTTTTCATTTGTTTTGTTACAACTTGTCTCTTAAATATTCGTGCGTTTGTTTCAGTGAACAGACTCAATGTTGGAGATTAATGTTATGTAAAAGAGGAAAAGAAGACGGGAAAGAAGAAGCTTAGTTAATATGAATAATCTCGGAATTCTTTTGAAAGTTTACATTTTCATCAACTTAATTCCCGGTGAGTAGATTATTTTCCAGTTCAAAGATATTATTAACCAAAAAAAGTAATAATTTACTTAAAGAGGTTCGACTACTTTAACTTTATTGAAAAAAAAAACCTATGAAATGAAAAGCTTAGGAAAAAGGCTGCTATATATATATATATATATATATATACCCAGCTATTGTTAAATCGTTTTGAAAAAAAAACATGGCGATCATTAACTCTATGATTTATTCGCTTATCAATGAAATCATTATTTTTTTTGTAACCTTATAAATTTTATATTTGTAAAAGGGGATAAGCCGAATGTTAAAAAATTTTAACCTTTTAGCAGACAAATTACTATAACAATAAGACGTATTTTATAAATTTTTAATAAATAAAAAAAAGAGATTATATCTCTTTTATATTTGATAAGGAAAATTGATGTTAGGATTTAAAAGATTAAAGATTAGTTTTAACCTATGACGTCCTTGACACTGTGAAAATTGACAGATGTTCTCAAAAAAATCGCTTGTTTCATCTCATTTCCTGCTGGGAAATTTTCTAATTCTTTTCGCTAGATCTGCAATATCCTTTACCAAATTGTTCTTATTGTGAAAACGATCTAAAGAGTTTTGGGCGCTTCTTCCTCAGGATAATGAAATGGGATCTAACGCCTTCTAAGGCAATAAAACGGTTAGGTTTGCAAGTAATTTGTTGACTTTATATGACGAATCTCGGACTTATATCTTTTATTATTGGTTAAAGTTTTCTTAGCCTTGTTGACATTAAGTTTAATAAGAATGCAGTTATATTTATTATTGATAATTACCTATTTATGGATTTTTAAGGTAAATATAGTTATACTTGCTATTTCGATAGGCAGTTAAAAGAACAATCTCTTTCTAGAAAACTTGGTAGAGTGCAGATATCCTCTCAGCATATGTTTTCAAAATGTATAATTGGGATTTGTAAGCTTAAAGATTAATGAGGGGGAAAAGCAACTTATGTTACTCATTTATTGAATCAGTTTTCGTTGGATAAATGTAAACAAATATTGGTAAATAAATATACGAATACACAAAAATGGCAACAAATCTAGTCGTAAAAGTGAAAGTCTATACTTAATTTAATGACTTTTTCGTATAATTATTCCAATTTTAATGAAAAAAATACTTAATAATTATAATGATCCTCTATTTCTTGTCCTTTAAATTGAATTCATATCATATCCTATCCGAAATAAAGAAAACCTAGTCCGTTTTTTATATATCTATAGTAATATTTCTGTAGGATATATAAATATATATTTATATGAATAGGTGTTGTAATTATTCTCCAAGAATAAATTTCTTTAATTTCTTCCTACTAATTATCTTTTATTGTCTAACTGGAAATTGAAAGTTTTACCTGGAAAAACGTACTATATATAAACTGTGAGATTGACGGTTTTTATTTAAGCGCTATTTTCATTATTAAGGTAGAGATGAATCATAGAACAGTGCAGGGCGTATCAGTAAAATTAAAATAATAATAATAATAAAAATAACAATAGCCTATAAGATCTTATTAATTATTTATTCATTTATCGTTACACAGTAGCGAAGAAATCTAGTAATATTTTTATTATTAAAATTGAACAATATGACAGCTAGTTGGTGAACAATTAGCACATAAGATATTAAATGCTTTCATTTGCCAATTTAATCCTAAGATCAAATAACATTTTTTGTTCAATGATTGAACATTCGTGAATAGCTGTTGGTTTATTAGCTTTTCTTTTTTTTTTGTTTTCTTTCTCCCCGCTAAATAACTATTATTAAAAAGTTTTGTACAAGATGGGTTTTTATATTTTATTGATTCAAAGAAAAATCATACTTAAAGGATAAAATAATTATGAAAAGAATAGACAAAGTAAGAATCAAGGTACGAAGTACTACGTCAGGTCAACGTATAATTTAAAAGAAATAAGTTTTTCAACCGTATAAAATGTTTTCTTCTAAACAAAAGTTTTCTTTAGTTCTCTCATATCATTGCAGGTGGCCAAAATTTGTATTGTTTCCTGGTTTGTATGGTAGATGGCGCTAGTGTTAATAGTTTTAACTTTCCACTTGTACGTGGACGAATGCAAGGGGGATCAAAGACAGATTATAGAGCAATGAATAATAAATATAATAATTAAGATAATACTTTTTAATATTTCGTTGTAAAGTTAAAGTAGTTCACAGTACATCTTACGTTGGTGTTATGATCAGTGTATGTATGTTCAAAAAAAAGGAAAAGACGAAAGAAAAAATCCGTCTCGAAAACCACAAATTAGATCTAACAGTTGCGATAGCGCTAGTAAGTAATGCACTTTGCCAATCAGCCTCCTTCATTTCGCCTCTGAATATCTAGCAGCAATGTTCTAGGCCTAAATTGAAAAGCTTTCACCAAGTCAGCAGGTTAAAAACAGCGGTACTCATAAGACGAATCATTCTTTATAAATCACTCTTATATTTATGACCTAAGATCCGGAAATGGTCAGTCTGCAACAAGCGGATAGAAAATTGTATAGGAATCAAGTTTGTTAAAATATACGTGTACATGTGTATTTTTATTCACATTTTTCATTAA